GAATAAACTATTGTCAACATAATTATGGAGTGTAATTTATTTTCAACTCAAAATATCTTCAAACTAATGAAATATTAAGTTATGAGAAAAATCCTTCTGGATAACAGCAGACTGACTGCTGGTAAAATATACCACAGGTCTGGACCACTCGTGATATTTGTTCTAATCTGAAAAAAATCTTATAATATGAGAAAATTGGTGAATGCCACAAGTTCTCCTAAAACATTCGTACGCACAACTTAAGAACAAATCTGTTCGTAGCAACGGTTCTTGCATGAGGCCCATTGTTCATAAAAAGGAAAATGTTTTTATCTTTTTGTATCTTATTAAGAGTCCTGGCCAAAAGGCAGCAAAAAATATACATTTACACATAGTTACACAATTAAAATGCCATGCACACAATTATTAAAAACACAAATCCTGGTGAAAAGCTTGCTCCTGAAATATTTTAAAATTCCTTTTACTAATAATGCGTGGTTTGCATTACATAAATTTACTGTTCCTGGATGTAGCAACAACACAACCATCACTCCAATCTTTGCATTTCCCAAGGATGAGTATTTATGAGGAGAATTTGTTAGAATCAAATTAATCCAGGTGGATTTATATTATTCTAGATTTGGCCTTGTGGGTAAATTGAGCAGCTGGCTAAGATTACTAGAGTCACAGAAAGACTTAAATTCATCCAAAACTGCATTTAGCCAGTCCCAAATGAAGTCTCCTGCGAATAAGGGCTCATTATAATTTGTTAGACAAAAGAGATTTAAAGAKGACCATGCCTCTTTGGTGGCAGGAGGTCTAAAGCACCCAACAACAGTTATAGGCAGACACTTTGCTTTTGCCACATTCAAGGTCAATAATTACATTTGATTGCATTTAGACAGACAAACCACTGAAGTGTTACAATTTGATTTAACATAAAAGAGTGACACCACCTTTATTAGGCCTGCCAGTATGTTAGAAATTATATCTAAAAATGTAACTTTTCTCCACATTCTAAACGTTTCATTCTTCTCCTGGCTGTAAAACCCCTTCTAGATCGTTTGGGGAAACTTTTCTCCACCTGTGACAGAAGAACATCAGCTCAGTCCGCGTGAAGTTTCATGTGACGAGTAAGGTGATTATTTCGGTAAAAACATTTTCCACATAATTTACAAGAAAACGGCCTCTCTCCTGTGTGGATCTTCATGTGATACTTAGCATATTTTTTGTCGCTAAAACTTTTGCCACACGTTTGACAAGAAAATGGTTTTTCTCCTGTGTGGTTTCGCATGTGAAGACTTAGAGATGAATGATATTTAAAATGTTTTCCACAAGTTTTACAGGAAAAAGGTTTCTCTCCATTGTGGCTACGCATGTGATAGTTCACATCTGCTTGACGATGAAAGCGTTTTCCACATGTTTGACAAGAAAAACGTTTCTCTCCTGTGTGGATTCGCAAGTGAACACTTAGAGATGACTGATATTTGAAATATTTTCCACAAGTTTTACAAGAAAAAGGTTTCTCTCCTGTGTGGCTACGCATGTGATATTTCACATCTGCTTGACGATGAAAGCATTTTCCACAAGTTTTACAAGAAAATGGTTTCTCTTCTGTGTGGATCCGCATGTGACTTTTCACATCGGACTGATGTTTAAAACATTTTCCGCAACTTTTACAAGAAAATGGTTTCTCTCCTGTGTGAATCCGCATGTGACTTTTCACATCGAATTGATGTTTAAAACATTTTCCACAAGTTTTACAAGAAAATGGTTTCTCTCCTGTGTGGATCCTTGTGTGACGATTTACAGATGACTGTTTTAAAAAGTGTTTCCCACAAATTTTACAAGAAAATGGTTTTTCACCTGTGTGAGTCCTCATGTGGATGACTAAGACACTATATTTACAGAACTTTTTCCCACAGGTGGGACAACAAAACATCAGTTTGTCAGAGTCCTCGTTCCGGACTCTGTGGACCTTCACATGACAGAACTGCAGTGATTTCTTTGAAAACATTTCTCCACAGATTAGACAAGAAAACCTCTCAGATGTTGCTGATTGGCCTGCTTGGTTACCATGACGACCCTCTGTGTGATCCATCTTCTCATCTGACCCTGAAT